GTTGCTGTATATATGATTGATTAAAAAAGAAAGGGTCATAGCTCGTAATCTAGTGGTCGGCGGAGTTTCGGGGTTGCACCAGCGTATTTGGAGCACCTCGAAGAACATAGTAGGTAATCATAGCCTCGTTACGGCAACATTTTTCCCCACTTGGCAGAAGTAGGCTCTCGACTTAGTAAAAATCCACCCAATTTGGGTAGTTTTTCCCTCATAACATGGGCGCATTTGATTCGATTAAGTTCGGGTTTTTTCCCAGATTTCGTATTGCGGCGTCCATATGTGACCAAATTTGGAGGAACATCGGAGTACGTTTTTTACATCGTATGCCGATATGGTCAATTCAGTGAAAAGGAGACGTTTTTATTTCGGCGATTTCTTGCCAATCAGAGGTCGGAGATACAAATGGTTACCAGCAGTGGATTGTCGAGGTCCGAATGTATATATGGGTAAGGTTTTATGAAGAACAAGCGACATTCACAACTTTTTGCAGTGCGTAGAAATGTGGTCCCCTATCTTTTCATTCAACCCGCTATTCATACACACTATTCCTTTTACACCATATCCCCATCCAATGATAATACACATAGCGAGAGAGAAATATAGTACGAAAAAACTTTTATTCATTCAAAAGCCACAAAAAACTATACTATGAACATCTACACGCGCTGTAGCAGCGAGCTTGAGACGAGCACACGTACCTCTTATTGCCAGAAACAACCATAACAGGAGCTACGAGACAATGTACAAAGGCCGAACAGGATCATTTTCTAGCTTACCTCGGCATACAATACTTGAGTAGATCGAAGGGACAACAAGTATCTAAGCAAGTACAAAACAATCAGCAGTATACTCCATTAACATACCTTTGATACATGATAACAACCAAGAAAGGTACTCTAAGTCAAAAGAAAGGTACGTTAGAATGATGTATGATAACGCGTGTTTGATGCTTTATACTCACTCTTTGCAGCAACGCCAACGATGGTACAAACAGGTTACTGTTTAACTTGCAGCGACACCACCATTTGATAGATCGACAAAGCCATGGAAGTAAAACGAGGGTGCATGTGACTAAGGAACGAGTGTGAGTAGATGAAGTTTGGGCTTCGTAGCAAGATGTGTATTTACCTGGAGTCGAGAAAAGTGAAGTAGAAAGCAAAAGAAAGACGCGTAAACAAATGCCTGTGACCCCCTTGCTTATAAGCAAAAATCGGAGAAATGGGTTCACTTGGCGCTCAGCTCTTGTTCTCATGCTCTTGCTAGCATCTTGGGTTATTTGTGTAAAGGAAGTTGTATAACGATTCATCGAATAAACCGCCCATCCCTATGGCTTCCCTATCATATTTCCAGTTGCATCGCTTATCATTCAATCATCCAGCCATTACCAATAATTTCGTTCGTTCCAGCAGGTTACATACCTCGTGTCAGGCCTCAGCAACAATGTTGATGACCCACCTTCTCGCAAGCCCTTTACCTACAAAAATAAAAACCATCCTTCAAAAACAAGGTATACACTTCTCTCTTATCTCCTTGGTAATGCGCCTTGTTTGTCGAACCCCGTTATATCCCCCGATTTTCAACTTTGAAAATTGTCCGCCTTTTCAGTCTCCAGCTTATTTTCTCTTCTCCATTCCTCTTTTCAACGTGCCCATCTCGACCGTGTTCTGCCAATCGACAACCTCTGTGCAATTCATCTACTTCTTGCCATCATGTCAAGCCCACAATTAAGTTGATCCAGTACGTTTTGGCTCCATGGCAACGTAATGGGGTGCCAACTGCTTGTTCACTCTATTACAGCACACGCTTACTCGACACCACACACACCCCGTTATTCACACAATACACCCACTCGCTCTTTTTCACCACCTTCAGTCGTCTCAATGTCAATCGTGAACGCTTCCATTAGCTTCTCCATCGCCGTGTCGTCATGAATCTCCTTGTTTATTATACCAAGTTTGCCCTGAAGGTTTATTGTATCCACGCAATAGCACATTGTATATACTAGCACCTTTGTTATCATACAAAGACAGTTGAATGAAAAGATAGGGGACCACATTTCTACACACTGCAAAAAGTTGTGAATGTCGCTTGTTCTTCATAAAACCTTACCCATATATACATTCGGACCTCTACAATGCGTTGATGCTAACCATGTGTATTGCCGACGTCTGATTGGCAAGAAATCGCCGAAATAAAAACGTCTCCTTTTCACTAAATTGACCATATTGGCATACGATGTAAAAAACATACTCCGATGTTCCGCAAAATGTGTTCACATATGGACGCCGGAATACCAAATCTGGGAAAAAAGATCCGAACTTAATCGAATCAAATGCGCCCGTGTTATGAGGGAAAAACTACCCATATTGGGTGGATTTTTACTAAGTCGAGAGCCTGCTTCTGCCAAGTGGGGAAAAATGTTGCCGTAACGAGGCTATGATTACCTACTATGTTCTTCGAGCTGCTCCAAATACGCTGGTGCAATCCCGAAACTCCGACGGCCGCTGGATTACCAGCTATGGGCATTTCTTTTTTAATCAATCATATATGCAGCAACTTTTAATCTATTCCATTACTGCTTCTAACGTGACTGCAATGTACTTAGTAGAACAAATAAATGTCTATGGACTTCGTTTATTGGCCTCTAGGGCGTTTTCTATGAGAGTCAGCTGTGTATTCACCTGATGTGTCATCATCATCCTCGGTATCGGTTTCCCATTGCGTATTATCTAACCATTGACTTAGCTAATCATTGTAGATTTTTCAGTCAATTCACTTACCATTGAACTCCGAATCATCGTGATCCAAATCGCTACGTTCCCGTTTGACCTCTGTATAGATGAATTCTTAATCTGTATCATCCGAAGAAGTAATCTTGTCAAAGGATACTTCTTTTAATGCCTTGATAATGCCACCCCAGAGGTTCCCAGCATGCTTGCGACGGAAAATGAACTCGACAAGACGATACTTCATGATCGGAGCTGTTCTGTGGCGGGCCTTAATAATGGACTTGATGCCATTCCAGGTTCCTAAATCATATGACGAATTATTAGCATATAACAACAAGATCATGATTGTATGTAGTACTTTACATACCGTCGATGGTATTTGTATGAACACCAGCTGCAGTCTTGAACTCCTTGGCGTGGTTGACAATCTCATGGCGGTAGCGTTTGCTAGGAATACGTGCGAGACCATTGTACCCCTTCCAACAGTCCGTTCGAATTTCGCTATCTTCTTTGATGTAATTACTCAAGATGAGGTGCAAAGTATCCTTCTTGCGATCTTCGACGGTTGTCACAAAAATCTTGCGTTCAGGAGTACGCTCGACACCGCCAACAACCCACACACCTTCAACACGATGGCCTTTGTGGCTTTTACGCTTCCCAAACTTGAATTCATCCACTTCGACAATGATGCGGTTGCCATCTTCGTCAATGCCACCTATAACAGACATTATGTTCAATACATGATTACACATACGTTCTTACAAGCGATTGTCACCTACCAACAGATACATCTTCGTTATGGTAAACGTCAATAGGCTAAGTGCCAAATTAGACTTGCATTGAAACATCGGTCGCTTTATTTGTTATACGAGACATCTTTATACACCGAGTCGATATATCTAAGACATGATACAATATGATAGCACCGAGGATAATAACATAGGAATAATGACAATGATAATGATAGCAATGATAATGATGTAATTACCCGATGGGCATGAAAGTATATAAGTAGTGATATGGTATAGGTTAATAAACATCAGTTCCAAGATACTTTTCTTAGTCTCTTTTTATTGAATCTTTTATCGTGCCCCTCACATTTTTTTATCTTGAGTTTTGATACACCTTACCATGTCCAACAACAACGAGAACCAACCTATGGAGGATGTCAACATGACGGAGGCTCCTGCTCCCGCTCCTGCTGCTCAACCTTCTGGCTCCAACAACAATGCTCCTGCAGCTAACAACAACAATCAGCATCAACCTCAACCCAACAACAATCAACAGGATCAGCCTCAGGGTGGACCTACCGATAATCCTTGGGTGCCCGATGCCTCTGATGCCCTCAACATTGGTGATTTGCTTGGTGATTTGTCGCCTGGTGCGACCCCTGAACAAGTCATGTCGGCATTGGAACAGCAAATTCTAAGGCTTGATGCCACACTTACCGACTTGGCTACTGGTGACAACCAAAGACATTTCTCGATGGTAACTCGTCGCCGTGATGAATTGAATGAACGCTTATCTACATTGAGACCCATGTAACAATCCTGATAATGAGGGATCTGGTACTAATGCTACCTCTAATATTAACCAAAACACATTGGTCCCACGCTAATTGCCAGCTTTCCAATTCCATGGTGGTGCACGCCATGCCAAACACAAAGCTCGTTTTGACTCTGCTCAGTCATTTCTTGAAGAATTTCGCACCGTATTAGAAGGACACAGCCTTGACATTGAACAGCACTGGCGTCGCTTGATGCCACTTACCGTCAACTCGAATAGCCGTGCTTGGTTGCGTGAGGTGATGGGTAAGGACAGTGTGACCAATTGGCAATCATTCTGCAATGAAATCATCAAACAGTACTCTCCACCTTATACGATGTTTTATCGTCGCTATCGCCTACGTACCATGAGACAAGGTGCTGGTGAGCCCTTGCGACAGTATTCAACCAAGTATCAAGAGTATGCCGTTAAAACCGGTATTGCCAACAACCAGGAGCTTGTATTCAACTACTTGTGCTCTCTTCATCGTCGTTATCGTAAACGATCTTGGTCTCTTGTCCACAACAATTACGGTGAGAACATTCCGGACGGGGTTGGTTATGTCAACGGGTAGTTGGGCCCCTCCCCACCACCCAAATTTCAAATTCAGTCAGCTCTTTTATTCTGCCCAGCCCA